CGAGGTGCCCCTTCCCCAGAGCCTGGTCCCGAAGCGCTTCAGCTATTTCCGGGCCGTAGAGGAAGGAGTCGGCGCAGAGGCTTCGGCTTATTCCGAAAACACCCGAAGTGAGGGCTTCGCCGGGTTCTCAGGTTGTCGTAACTTTTCGGAAACTAGCTCTTCAACGTTCGGGTATTTCCGTGGGTCCTCGCCTTCCTCGGAACCCAGTGCCCCCCAGCCCCGCCAAGGGTTCGGCTTCTTCCGACAACTCAAACCGTCCGTCTTTGGCCGCTTCTGCAGGGGCTCCCCGCTGTACCCCGCCCACTCTGTCCGAACTATCCGCTACTTCCGATAAGCCTAACTGTCCTGGGACTCAGCACTTCCCGAAGGTTTCGGTGCTTGTCCTCGGGCCCGCCAGAGATTAAGCTCGACTCCAAGCTTCGGCTCTTCCCGGAGATTCCACTCGCTCACTCCTTCTCTCTCGCAGAACCTCGGCTCCCTCCGCCACCGCTTCGGGAAGGCCTCACTCTCGGAGATAGCTTCGGCTTTTTCCGTCGGTGCTTCGGCTCCTTCCGGCGTCGGGAACCGAAACGGGAGGGAGAACCGAGACGAGGTGGGTCAAGGGAAGGGATACGGGGAAGGGGCGGGGTCCCGGATCCCACCTGGCTCTCCGGGCGGGGAGAGTTGAGGAAAAGAAAGGCCGACCTCCTGGAAGGTTTAAGAAGGTTGCGCGAGACAAAAGCAGCCAGCGGGGTGAAGGGTGCGCGCGGCCGCTGCGGAGGTTGGCAGCGCGGCTTTGTGCGCCTGCGCTGGGTGGAAGCGTTGGAGCGCGAGATGGACTTCTGCGCCTGCGTGGCGGTGGGTCTGAGGCGAGGTTTCTCACCGCTCCGGGCGGCCGGGGGGCGGGATCGGGTCCAGAATCCCCAGCGCGCGTGCGCGAGACTTTCCCTTCCTCCAGCGAAAGTTCGAAACCCTGGCTGTTAAGCGAGGCCTCCCTCTCCCGGTTACCGTAGCAACCGCTTAAGCGCTTCGCCGTCCTGCCGCCGCGCAGGCGCAGCAGGCAGCGCTGAGGATGCTTCCAGGGGACGGGGAATCTCGCCCTACGGCCTCTAGACGGGC